GAGAGGGAGAGGGAGAGGGAGGGAGCCCAGGTGAACGTAGAGAGTGACCAGAGGGACCTGTACAACCAGCTGGTCGTCGAAGATGCCGGCCTGAGCGCAAGCTTGGCTTGAGTTTGTGCTTGGGGCCTTTTTGCTTCGAGCGTTTCTTAGCCCAGCGTTGTGCCAGCCCAAAAACACGCGCGCAAATCACCACAAAAAGCGCGCAAATCGGCGCAAAAAGGCGCAAACGCGCGCAAATAAAATTTCAGTGACGAACGCACATTTCAGATCGAGCGTTTCCTGCATCCTCGAGGAGATGTCACTTGCACGGTGCAGGTTTGGATCAAGCTTGCCCGAACTCATGTATACGCGTGTCTCTTCCTGTGCTACACTTGTAGAAGGCACAGGCATGGTTTCCTCTGCCGTTCCGACTTCTCCAATGGCTCCAAATGTGGAGCCTTCGGCCCTCAGTGCTCGGATTCAAGTCCCTAGATCGCATAATGCATTTGTGTGCACTGTCTGCTTCAGCTAGTGCTTATTGAACTATTTGGCCGTGTGGGGTGAGGCTGCAAAGGAGCGGATTGCTCGGTTGCAAGCGCAACTGACTTCCAAGACCTCTGCACCGCCCCCTTCCGTACCAGGACTTCTTCGTATGTGTGTGTGTGTGTGCCAAGTTCTGTGCTTGCATGTGGCAGGAGCACCGGCTATCGCAAGCGAAGACGGTGCCTTTGCTGCTGGAAACGCGGTTCGCCCGGCCCATCATGCCCACCCGGTTCGTGTAGACTCGTTCCACGTGCCTCCTCGCGGTGTTTCCTTCGACAGTGCTTGGAGGATGGAGGTAGCAAGTCCCACTACAACCGAAACCTCAGATGCCTCAACTCCTCAGCCCCCCAAGCAGGCTGAAGCACGAGCCAAGATCGCTCCCACAAGGGCCCACCCGAAAGTGACCACAAAGGCTCCAGCCCCAAAGCCTGAAGGAGCCAAGCCGACTGAGGCCTCTGAGGCTGCAGACGCAGGCACTGCCGCCATGTCTGAAAGCCCAGACAAGCAGACACAGCTGAACACACCAAGTAAAGTGCCCAGCCCATCCTCAAAGCCAGATGCCAGCCCAGGTGGAGACTCGCACCCCTCCACCCCGCCCCCCAATGTGTCGCCACGCGGTGTGTCTTCCCCGGGCTCAGGAACCTCCCCAAAGGGTTTTCAGCCCCTGAAGCCAAAGCCGAACCCGAAGTTTGACAAGGTGTACCACCAGAGCCTTGGTTTCCCTTACTTAGCTTCCTTTCTTAAGTCCTATATAGTTATTTGTCCAAAACTCATATTTAAACGTATCGACAGGAAGCCCTCCAGAGAACCCGTGGAGAGGTCGTTGCCCCACATATACGGCTTTTATAGGGATGTAGTCTTATACAAAGCTAGAGCTGACCCCGGAGCCCTCAACCGTAAACCTATCAAGCAAAGGCGCTGCGATATCTGAGGTTGCACAGATACTTTCGGCCTAGCAGCAAGGGGGCCATGAAATGCTCGGACCTTTCCATGAAGATGTACAAAACCAAAGAAGGACGCTGCAAGGTTGCATCCAAAACCATACACATGCAAACTACTGCTAGGGGATAGTGGTCTGGATCTAGCTGAGGTCAGCAGCTCCGGGAGATGCTGATCAAGCACGGGGGTTTCAAGCAGTTGGAACTTCACTTGAAAAAATACCACAAGAATACCGAGAAGGATGCCACCTCCGGTAAGTGGGTGACAAGACACTATCTCATGGAGGAGAAGAAATACACAAAGTCACCATCTCGAATTATTAATACCCCAAACCCTAAGCCCTAAACTCCTTAACTCCTTAACCACCAAACCTAAAAATCCTAAACCCACCCAGAGACCATTCCTACAGAACCATGCAAAGCTGGGAACTGGGCCCGAGCCGAGGCAAATGGCGGACAACTCGTTCGCTTGGGCACGCCGCCAAGGCCTGCTTAGGACCAACGAGGTGCATGGCGTGGAGGAGGCACGGTTGGTTCTCGAGGAGTCGTTTTGCAACGAGCGCGAAAGCGGTGCAGTGACTGAGCTGGATGGTTCGCACGAGGTGGAGGACTCCAATTGTTTTGCAGTCTCAATATGAAACATGTACTTAATGCCCTCCACAATCCTTAACAACCCCCAAAGCTCACTGCAGGATGAGAACAACTCCTTCTTGGAAGAAGAGCCGGCCCCCGATGCCCCGGCTCCCACTGGGGAATCGGCTCGTCTTGCTGATGCTTTGGGGGGCAAGGGCAAGCAGTGGTCAGACTTATACTGGCTTGGCTTTAGGTTATGTGCTTGGGGGTTTAAACGATAAATTTAGGGGTTTAGGGGTTTAGGGTTTAGGGTTTAGTTTAAGTTTGCAGGCACAGGGTTCCCATGCCGTTTGTGTTTTAGGACTTCTCCGGGCTTGGTTCACAGCTTTCGGATGTTGACTGGCTATAAGCTTAGGATTTACGATGTAGAAGGGTTTGGGTTCGTCTGGGGTCACGACATTCTATAGAGGGACCCGGAAATCTAAGGCTTGGTTTCAGAATTGTTCTTCGTTTTCGTGCTCGTCTCTAAGGACCGTGTTCCCGACGCTCCAGAAGAACGAGAGCCCCATCAGTATCCTGCCACAGTTCTTGCAGGTTCTCGGCAGGAAGATCGAAGTTGCCACTGAATGGCAGGACTCGGGTTTCAGTACCTACAGGGCTTCCATTAGCTGCTTATATGTGTGCATACACAACTCGCTCTAGGAGAAGCTTGGGACTTCCTCGAATCCGCGGGCCCAGGAGTGCCTGGACTTGTATTTCATCGAACAGCCCGAACTGCTCACAAGCAATCCTTGCCTACGAAAACCCGATGCCCTGCCCGAAGCCACAAAATCAAACTCAGGATTGGGAAGCAGATCCTCGAATGCTTGGACCGGCTCAACAACAGCTTCAATCAGCTGACCGACAAGGAGGCCGAGGTGTTGGTGGACACCGAAGGCAAGAGCCTACGCTAGATTACTCGATCGTGCGTGCGCACGTGCATGTCCGAGCACGAAGCCATGGAGCCCTTATTCCTCGTGTTGCAGCCCAGCCCAGGAACCTCGAAGCCCACAAGGCTTGCATCATGGGCCTCTTTGTCAAGTGTACCAAAGATGACGTGACTCTAAACAACTACGTGACTCGCAGCAGGTGTCCTGCAAAGATTGATGTTCGATCGTGTGTGCATGTAGTACACGGTAACACCTTCAACAGACCAAAGTACTAGGCCACCATTTCGCATATCTAAGGTCCCTGAAGCTCCAGGATGCTTCGCCCGGATCGACCGGCTCCAAGGCCAAACCCAAGAAGGCAAACAAGGGCAAGAAACCGAAGAAGGGAGGCAGCCCACCCAAAGGGAAGCTTGCCTCGCCATCCAAGCCGAAGCAAATGCTGGGCAAGAAGAAGTAGTTGGCCCTGCAGTGGCCGTTCGTTCATGATCTAGATGCATGTTGTATGGCAACATGCTTTTGCTAGCTGGAAACCGGCTGCAGTTGCAGTGTAGGTTGGGACTCGAAACCTGGACCTCAACAGCCCGGTGCTGTCAATGTTGGTGTGCATTAGACTTGTTAGCTGGGTTAAGTTATAGGGTTTAGGTTTAGGGTATATGTACCTGAGCATTACCATCTGAAGCTTTGTGGGTCCAGGCAGTCTCAGTTAATTGAACGGGGATCACTGCTGCAGAGCAAATCGGAAGTGCATCTCTCGAGTGCTGCAACCTTCTACATTGCTGGTGTGGTCATGCCTGAAACTTCCCATACGTGCACTTCCTCGTGTGTTGAGTTTGCAGGTGGCTCCTCTCGCAACGACCCACAAGCAGACCCCTTCGATGTCGCAGGCCTGTAGACTTGTGCATGCTGTTGGGATGACTAGTTCCCTGGTGTAAGCCTACGCACAAGGCTGGTTCAAGTGAACGAAAAGCAGCCAAGGGTTCTGGTGTGTTACACAAGTACACTTTAAGGGCTTCTGCTGAGGTGCACCTAGTGATGCCGAAGCCTCCGACAGCGACAGCGACGACTTGGTGCAAGCGCTTATGGGTGATGTTGAGAGAGGGGTGGCCTGGATGCAGCTGCTACATGTACTACACGCAGTCCCAGAATTAACCTCAGGTAGATGCCAAGGGCGTGGTCCGCTTTGCTGCCGTTGCATCCTGAAGAATGAAGAAGCTAGGCAGGGTATTTTGGAAGCTCATTCCAGGCACCATCCCAGGTGATTGTTAGATGGCAACAGGTTTAGGGTTTTACATATACGCTATATAGTTTGGCAATGTAGGCACTAGCTTAGGCGACACCCTAATCGAAGACCCCCTAAACCCGAAACACTTAAACCTAAACCCTTCCTCACCCGAATAAGAAATACCCGTCTGTGCTCCCGTGCAGGTGTGGTCGACCCCGAGCTGGATGAGATAGCACGCCTGGGTACAGGAAAAGTCTACAGCAATGCCTCCCGAAACCTGCATAACTTCCTGCATCGGAAAGGAAAAACGCTGCCTGTGGCCATATCTTCAGTGAAGCTGATTATCCGACGCCCCAAGAAAGGGGGTGGTGAATTTGTCACAGACTATCCCCTGATTTACTTGTCAAGTTGGATGAAGTACATCTTGCAGAGTGGTGGCGAATTCCTCTTGGGTGGCTGGACTACTGACCAGCCAGACAACTACAAGCGGATGCTTTCCAGATTCTGGCAACGGTATCGAGTAGTGAATGCTGTCCATCCAATATACTCCGAGAAGTCCTCCGAGCAGTGGGCATTTTGCATACCAGTTGCAGTGCATGGTGACGAAGGAAGAGGGCTGGCAAAACTGCCAGTGCTTGTCGAATCATATCAACCAATTTTGCCGGGGAGTGGTGAAGACAAACTCAACCTGGTTGGGCGCCTTGTGGAACCAAGTTTGGGTGCACATATATAGGGCTTGTGTGTTTAGGATTAATTTCGAATATATAGGGTTTAGGGTTCAGGATCTGGACGTATAATCATACATGCTATTTTCTTAAGCAGAGGCATACCTACACCACACGCTTGCTGGCTACAATCCTGCCATCAGCATGTTATGCCAAGAAAGACCAGTCGGTGGACGGCCTCCACAGGGCCATGGCTGATGATCTGACTGCCTCGTTTCGCGACGGAGTGACTGTTGAGGCCGGGAATGGGGCCGTGCAGCTTTGACGGGTCTTTAGTTTTACATGCGCTTGACTGCCCTAAACCCTAAACCCTAAGCCCTAATTATGTTTGAGGGCGGGCTTAGGATCAGGGGTTGTTATACTGCAGGTGAATGGAGAAAGATTGACGTTCTACTGCGCCGTGGTAGGCGCCAAGGGCGATTGGCCCTACCTCCGCAAGCTGTACCACTTGAAAACAGGATACACATCTGCCAGGGTGTGCCACATGTGTCCAAGCGACGTTGCCTATCGAAAACTTAGCACGCCTTATTTAATCTAGACTTGCGGGGGGGTGCATGGTAAGTGTTTTGAGCAAGGAATGGTGGAATGTCGGGCCAACCAGCCAGCTGCGAACGTGGAAGAATCCAAGCCCAAATCCATTCAAGAGGAACCGTGCAGCTTTTCGCGATATTCCTGGCATGGACAATCCCAGCCTAATACAACCAGATTTGATGCATGCCTACAATTTAGGATTCGGAAAAGATCTTGCATCGTCAGCCATCATTTTGATGAGTCGAGAAGGAGCATTTGGAGACGGGAAGTTGCCAGACCAGCTGAACCGAGCATTTGCTGGCTTTATGTCATGGTGCGAAAGCAACCAGCAAACCAGCTCAATCAAGGAGTTCGACTTCAAGAAAACCTTCAAAATGAAGTCGTGCCTTGCCCAAACTTTATAAATAAACTTCAAACTCAAACCTGTCACCCGCAACCTGAAACGCCGAACATTTCCAACTCGCATGGCCGAGGCAGCGACGGTTCCCGACCGGTTGTGGGAAAGCCTATGATGTCGCCTTGGTGAGCAAATGGATTGAGGCGGAGTTGGATGCGATGAGATCAGTCCCTCGCAACATATTTAGCCAAGCTCGGGTTCGGGCTCTATGGGTTAGGGTTTGGCAAAAGAAAAAAGGCCTCTAGCGACCCGACTTTTGCATTGCATCCCACAAACCTATAGATAGTATAGAAGCCATGCAAAGCAAGCCCCAAGCGCCATTCCCAAATTGCTTAATTTAAGTATACAAACCTCCTGATTCAGGCAGAGGCAGAGCTATCCGAGTCTTTGCAACTTTTACATTGGACGCTGAAATCGGGAAATCAGTGCTTCCATATCATCTACAATGCAGGGACTTGGGTGCCAGCAGCTGAAGCAAGACTTGCTGTGCAGAACGGCTACAATCTGCTTGACTGCTGACTGCAATAGCAAGCGCGATGTGCTGGCAGGGTAAGCTGAACGTTTCAGTTGATTGCATGTCTGATTTCTGAGGACGGCTATTGTGGGCTGGCTAGAGATTCTGCTGAGAAGCAGCTTGCAATGTTCCGCATGAGACCAAAAGTTCATCTTTTTGGACATATTGTGCCGCTTGCCTTTGCTATTCGAGTTTTGGGCCGGTACCGCTTGAGTGAGGATGTTAAATTGCATTCACACACTAGTGCTTATTTGGCAGGACTAGTATGGACAACCAACTTGCACAACCGCCAACATCATGGGTTCTCAACCCAGCTTGTTGCCAAGCTGCAAATCTGCATGTGTGCATGTTGGCCACCTGTGCGTCATCCCCAGAACAAACCTAGGCTTCTCTGCCTGGGCAGATGAAGACTATATTGGCCGTATTTCACGTACATCGAGAAAAGTCGGCAGTTCAAGACTGACTGCGCTCAGAACGATGACGAGAACTTTGGTGAGCTATCGAAGCATGTTCCGAAAAAACTTCCAATCTCACAGATGCCTCTGAACTGAACGGAAGTTTGAAAGCTGGAAGCTCCTGCTTTGCCGAGCCCCGTGCCGGTGCCACAAAAGATCGATGTGCGCTTGATGAAGACGATGTAGCCAGCAGCAGTATGCATGTATGTTTGTGCATATGCCCGTGCCATGATCGTACGGAGTGCTTTTTGGGAAGGTCCCTAGTTCATGCAATGTATGAGCGATTGAAGCAATGCCATCGGCTTGTGTTTTGCTTATACCCCAAAGGCCTAAACCTTAAACCCTAAACCTATAAGATTCAGCTACGAACTAAGAGCACTTCGAGCTCTTTTAAAAGTAACGTGCGGATATTCGAGAACGTACCTGAAAGCAGGTTTTCGTAACGCTTATTCTGAAAGGCATCCTGGGGCATAAATATATGTATCGTTTGAGGTCACAGGGGGTTTTAGGGTTTTAGGGTTTTAGGGTTTAGGGGACAGGGTTTCGGATGCAGGGCCCTCGGTGTAGTAGACAAATCCCAGAGTCTCCCAAAGGTTCACCTTGAGTCCCCCTAGAAGCCCTAAGCCTTAAATGCCCAGTAGCATCCTCCTACATACCCATAGGCCCCATAGTAGTTCCTTTTTGGGGCTCATATTTAGAATCCTATAAGGTAATCCTCAAAAATAATCCCCAAAAGGAACTACTATGGGGCCTAAACCCTAAACCCTCAAGCCTAAACCCTAAACCCTAAAGGTAGCCACCAGCTAGGTTCCCGAACCCTAAGCCCTAAACCCTAAACCCTAAACCCTAAACCGTGTTAGGTTCCCGGTGAGCGTGTCTTGACCTTCGACGAGAAGCGGCAGAAAGAGCTGATCGAGCCCCACTTCTGCAAGGACGCGTCGACGTGCACTTCGAGCCTCGGGTTGAGGGTTTAGGGTTTAGGGTTGAGGGTTGAGGGTTTAGGGTTTAGGGTTTAGGGTTGAGGGTTTAGGGTTTAGGGTTTAGGGTTTAGGGTTAATTAAGGGTTTAGGATTTAGGGTTTAGGGTTTAGGGTTTAGGGTGTGGTCACGTCATGGGTGCTCGCTGGTGTGTGAGCACACCCAGGCCGCTCGCACCTGTGCGTAGCTGACAGCCCACCCCAAGACCACCCGAATTTCACGCATTTAAGGGTTTAGTTCTAAAGTCTTCTAGGCATCCCA